CTCCATTGGATCTGCCTCCGGAGAGAAGGGAGGGTGGCCGAGGACCGAGCCTCGAGAAGGAGGGCGCTGAGGAGGAATGATGCAGTCTCAGAGACTAAATAGAGCCTAATGGTTTGCTGATTTGTTTCCACAAAACTTCCAGGGGTAGGGGCAGTAAGACCCTGCCTCTGCAAAAAATAAAATTGCCGAGTGTGGTGTGTATCTGTGGTCCCAGCTCCTCTGGAGGCTGAAGTGGGAGGATTGTTGGAGCTCCAGAGGTCAAGGCTGCAGTGAGCAGTGATCACACCCCTGTACTCCAGCCTATTTGGGATGTATTTCTTTCACTGTCATTTTTCTAACGGTGAAGACAAGGGGTTGACCTAGGAAGATATGGAAACCTTGTCCAGCCTACTTTCTGGGGTCAAGATGAGACCAAGCTGTTGGATCTTTGTGACTCTAAAGTTGCCTTTGACCTTGCAGCATTTTGCTGAACTCCAGCATGGAGGAGTTCATTGGGAGGGTGACAGCCCTGTGGCGGGAGCTAGTGCTCTGGTGATGGGTGTGGGCTTGTCCCAGGCTTATCACTCGGTGGCACTGGGACCTTGGAGAATCCGCTTAGCCCTCCACCTCAGTTTCCTTGTGTCCTAACTGGAGATAATATCTGCCTCCCGGAACTGTTAGGGCAAAGCCCGGAGGCCAGAGGGCAGCATACAACCAGAGCTGGCAGCTTTGGTGATCGTGGTGAAGATGGTGGTGATGGTGATGGTGATGATGGTGATGATGGCAGTGGTGGTGATGATGGTGATATAGTAGTGGTGATGACGTGATGGTGGTGGTGGTGATGAAGATGCTGATGGTGGTGATGATGGTGATGGTGATGACGGTCATGGTGGTGGTAGTGTTGACATTGATGACGGTGGTGATGATGGTGATGGTGATGACGGTAGTGATGATGGTGATGACAGTGATGATGGAGATGGTGATGATGATGGCAGTGGTGATGACGGTGACAGTTATGATGATGATGGTGGTGATGATGGTGATGATGGTGGTGATGAAGGTGATGGTGACAGTGACGATGGTAGGGGTGGAGTTGGGGGTGGATGATGACAGTGGTGATAGTGGTGATGACGGTGATTGATGGTGATGATGGTCATGGTGGTGGTAGTGTTGACATTGATGGTGACGGTAGTGATGATGGTGGTGGTGATAGTGGTGATGACAATGATGGTAATGATGACTAGTGGTAAAGGTGATGGTGACAGTGACAGTGATGATGGTGGCGGGTAGATGGTGATG